GTGCGTGGTCCATTCCCAACCATTTTCGGGTGAAGGGCATTGAAACAGATGCCAGTGGCTCTGGAGAGCACCAGAAATAAACTTGAGAAGCTCAAGACCGTGTGATACAACTTCTTTATTGCTTCTGTAGGTTAGTGAAGATTCCCCTAATAATGATATGCACAATCTAAGTTATATTCACCTTAACCACCAAATAAGATTGCAACCGAAGAGGCTGCGAAGTTCTTCTTCCTACATTTCTTTGAAACAGAAATCTCTTTAAAATTGTCCAAACATAACGGTGAGAGGGCATGTGGAACACTTGAATCCAGGGCTCACAGCAGAAGTAGTCAAGAGTAAGATAAACAGTGTGATGCGGATCACGCAAGCCCAGCATGTTGAGGAGCCCAAGATGCTGAAGGCTTTTGTATTGGGAATCATTGTAAAAATGCAAACAATGATGATGAAACTCACGGAGTGGTTACAAAGTGCCAGGCACTGTTCTAACTGCTGTCCATGTAATAACTCATTTAATAAACAAATATTTTTGCAAATCAAGTGCAAAGAGAATAGGTCTATCCATTGTCCCTAATTTCCCTCGCAAGTCATACTAAATAATGAAATGAGCTTCTTCCTTGATATAATTTATTATTTACTAATCTCTGATGGCATCATGAGACAACCAGAAAGAGCCAGCCTCAGACACCAACGTAGCAAGACCAAATCTACTAGATTCTACTAATAATGAGGCTCCCATCCCAGGTTCCCAGGATCACAGCCTATTGCAGAAGTGACTAGCAGTCTCTCAGTGGTATAGATTTGAAATAGGTTGAAATAATGTTCTGTTGTTTGAGCAACATAAATGGAAGCAGCATTGCTAAATAAGCTATCTTTCAATCAAAACCAATTTAACTACATTTTTCTGTTTACAATTCATTAACTTTAAAAACATGATATTATACAAAACATAGAAGTCATGAATTAAAATCCCTACAATCAAATTAGACTCTGAATGTCTGGGACATTTAAAAGACAATGTATAGGGGTTGCCATGGTAACTCATCAACTTGTAATTCTGTACCTTTCTGAGTGAAAACCTAGAAAGGAGAAGACAAGCAATTTCGGGAGATACCAGCACCAGAAATTGAGTTCATCTGTGACTTAAGCTCTCTGTGATTTTGTTTACCAGCTAGTCATCATGTGGATAAAAAATAGTAAAAAGACAAAAAAGATTCACATTTCAAGGCTCCCTAAAATTGCCAATTCCACTCTATAGTTGATTCTCAGCACAGGAGGAAATGGGACTAGAATGCTGGGAGATGACACTGTCATCAAACAGTGAGCTCCAAGGAGAAGCATAATTGTTACTTCTCAATGGTAGGAGGCAGGTGCTTCCCCCAGCGGAAGGATGCTGTTGAATCCTTAGGTTAGAGCCCAGGTTCAACTCAGTGTCACAGGTCAATTACCACCCTCCAACCGAGGGGCGACATGAACCATACTCACGCACGGGTGTATGCTCCCTCCTCAGCACTTCTGTACATTCAGAGGTCCTGCATGGGATGCCGATAACTCACACCCTTCCAGGGCTGCTGGAGATCATATGGCTGACCATCAACTTTGATTCTGACCCATTTGTCAACAACGACACAATTGATGACTTTTTAGGCTGTTTTGTAACTCTTTGCTTTCTCTCTCACCTTATTTAGAAGGCATTGAACCCAGGTTCTCTAAGACTGTTTTCCCCACTCTCACACCTGTCCCAGTTTCTCTGTTTAAAATATTTGTATGAAAACTGATAGATTATAAAATCTACTTCCTAAGCAGGTAAGTTGCCTAATGTGGTCAGGAAATGCGAAGAACTATAATAATTGTGAGGACATTATTAATGGCAGGGATTTATGTCACTTAGCTTTTAAAATTCCAAAAGATGAATAATAATAGAATCAATTGCATGGGTGTTGTCAACGGTGCTGAGTTATGTTTTAGTGGAGGCGACTTTTCCCCTGCCCAGGAACATTAGTGGTTGGGGGTCTTATGTAAAGTCAGTGATGGCAGAATTGTGATAAAGTGAGGGCCAGAGAAGTATTTTCTTTTTAGATGATGTGTAAGCATGATAGATATGTTCAGAATGTAGATACAGATAACACATTAGCAAACAAAGTAAATAATTAAGTAAATAATTAATGTTTTAGTTATCTAGACAATTCCAGTGTTTATTGGAGTTACACTGGATTCTATTTCATTTATTGGGAATTTACTTAACTTCCTAACTTTGCACTGGAGAATTATTTATGAAGCAACTAATGAGACCTGGATAGAGACATCAATGCTAAATTAACTGGCCATGCTTGAACCAAAGCGTTCTACCTGGGAGCAGTCTACTTTTCAACACAAACCAGCAGCTACATGGTGATAAGCCACAGCGGTAAGAAAAGTGGTTCTATTCTATAAATGGCAAATGTTGCCTTCTATGACAAGGCATGAAAATGTGCCTTTTCATGCCAGGCACCTTCCCTGATAATGGATCACTTTCCATCTTAGTTTCTACAAAATTACCTCTAGTCCCCTCAGACCACATTAATCAGAGGAAAGATTTCACTGAAATTAGCTTCCTATAGAAAGTGTTAATGGCTACACAACATTGTGAATGTACTTATTGGCACTGAATTCTACACTTAAAAAAGGCAGTAATCATAAACTGCATGTTATGTGTATCTTATCATAATAAAAATGCTATTATCAAGGTTTTTCATAAGAGTGATATAGTAGTGGGTGTTAGGCTGTTCTCGCATTGCTATAAAGAAATACCTGAGACTGGGTAATTTATAAAGAAAACAGGTTTAATTGGCTCCCAGTTCTGCAGGCTACACAGGAAGCATGATGCTGACATCTGCTTGGCTTCTGGGGAAGCCTCAGGATACTTACAATCATGGCAGAAGGTGAAGGGGGAGCAGGCATGTCACATGGTCAGGGAAGGAGCAAGAGAGGGAGGGGGGAGGTGCCACACACTTTTCAACCATCACATCTCATGAGGACTCACTTACTACTGCAAGGACAGCACCAAGGGGATGGTTCTAAACCATTCATAAGAAACCCACCCCCATGATCCAATCACCTCCCACCAGGACCCACCTCCAATACTGGGGATTACAATTCAACATGAGATTTGGGCAAGGACACACACCCAAACTATATCAGGGTGCTAGGGAGGGGAAGTGGGAAAGAAGGGTAAGAGAGCACTGAAAGGGAGCATAGGAGGGAAAGAGAGAGGAAGGGAGAGAGACAGGGGGAGTGAGTAAGTGAGGGAGAGAGGAAAAAAGAGATTAACTGATGAGAATGAGTTTAAGAGTATGGAAGAAGATTTTTAGGTAGACAAAAATGTGAGGAGTTGCAGTAGACATTTGTGGTGCTTGGCTGCCTAGCATCTGAACACCCTTTCTACTCTGGAGGAATCTCAAGATGAAGCTGAGGGTGGCATTTGGGGAATAAACTGACTCAGGCAGATCTAAGAGAATCCATATGCCTAGGATGCTACATCTTGAGGGAGGGACTAAGATGCAGGTAAGCCAGCTGTGGATGGCTCTGTTGTGTCATTTCCTCTGGTTCTTGCCCATTTTCCTGTTTTTATTTCCAGCCCTCATGTTAATTCTGCAATAAAATCCTTCTGGTAACTTTTTTTCAGCCTAAGTTACTCTATGTTAGTTTCTGTGGTTTGCAATATTAATACAAACAGAAAACAAATAATTACTCCCATATTGTCAAATTATACATGAAATCAAGTTGAAAATAAAATTTCAACTTTTTTTTTTTTTTTAACAGAATGAGAATCTTAACTGAATTGGTAGCCACAAATCTTCCTCTGCTGTGGCAAAACCATATGATCTTGCCCATTTTCAGTCAAACAAGGGCTTGAGTAATTAGGAAATAGTTTTCTATTCTATCACAAAATCCAGATTCCCTGGAAGATCAGAAGGACTGATTTCATGCTCTCTCTCTTTTTGTTACAGCTTCTTCAAAGTTGCAGTAGGAATTCCCAAAGAAGAGGCTGTCTTTCCCCTAACAGCATTACTAATGAGATGCCAGCAGCAGGGACATTATCTACTGGACATTATCTATTTTGTCTCCAGAGTGAGACAAAAAAGGGCTGACTAGGACCCAGGCTCCAAACCACAGAGCCCCATGCTGAGAAGCAACCTCATTCCCACTTGGGAGGGCAGGTGAGGGGATGGTTTCTCTCCTAGCATAAAGTCTTCATCTCTTTCTTTGAGTTTATCAACCTTGATACTCAAGACAGTTCTGAAGAAATTGTGGAGCCCTGGTATGGTTTGGTTGTGTCCCCACCCAAATCTCATCTTGAATTCCCACATGTGGGAGGGACCTGGTGGGAGGTAACTGAATTATGGGGGTAGGTCTTTCCTGCGCTGTTCTCGTGACAGTGAATAAGTCTCAAGAGATCTGATGGCTTTATAAGATGGAGTTTCCCTGCGCAAGCTCTCTGTCTCTTTGCCTGCTGCCATCCACATAAGATATGACTTGCTCCTCCTTGCCTTCTGCCACGATTGTGAGGCTTCCCCAGCCATGTGGAACTGTAAGTCCCTTAAACCTATTTTTCTTCCCAGTCTCGGATATGTCTTTATCAGCAACATGAAAATGGACTAACACAAGCCCAGAAGCACCCAAACCTAAAATGTCTGTGTAGCAGCAGCATCTCTGACTGTGGGTTGACCAAGGGGTGTTTCTGTTGACTTCTTCTTCACCTCCTCTCCTTTCTCCCTGATGATTTGCCCACAGGTGTCAGAAATGAGCTGTGCACCAAAGCTTATTTACATCCCAACTCTAAGACAAACTGTGCTTTTTAAAAAGCTACATTATCTCTGAGGATTTCAACCAAAAGGTTGAAATCGGAATCCCAGAAGTCTGTATTGGAATCATTTGGGGTGGGCTTATTTTCTCCTAAATGATGAACATTCACCACCCTTGTCCTCAGATGTGCACACACCCCTATTAGGATAAGCACTCACTTTTCGTTGAGGTGACCAGGGCAATGTGCAGCAGGTTTTTTTCAGGATGAACAGTTCCTGGCGGGGATTTGCACCCAGCATTGCCTGCTCCACATCCGCACGGTATCCACCAGGCACATGGTGGAATCCAGAATCCGGGTCCATCCTGGCTCTGCCTCCTCAGCACCAGGTTGCTTGACAGCACCCCAGTTTGCACCTGCAGTTGGAGAATTGTAAGGACTGGGGAGAAAACAGGGTGAGGACATGTCGGCCAATGCAAACAGTCTAGAAACATCATTTGCCAGTGTCATGAATTCTAGTTGTAGGGGGTGTGAATGTTAATGCTCTCAAAGGACCGCTCTGGAAAAGAAACGGGGCTGAATGTTAAACAGTGACAAGTGCATTATGCTTTGCTTCAATTAAAAAAAAAAAGTCTTTTTCTTTCTATAGAAAAAAAAACAAATGTAAATTGAGAACATGAGTGACTTAGAGGTGAGCTGGTTCCTCTCTGAGAAGTTCGGAAGTGTGTACCAAAGTAGAAATCATCATAACTTTGTTAACAGAGGTGTCCGTTTTCTTTCCAAGAGGTATTAGGAGCACTGGGGATTTATATTTGATTTCCTTGCTTTGTTTTCTCTCTGCCGATCCTTCTAGTGGAGAAAATACGTGGTTATCAGAGAGAAAGAGGAATAAAAGACAATGTTACTATGGAACAGGCTATTACTAAGCCAAGGTTATGATAATGGAGAGAAATAACATTTAGGAAGATATATAGTGATGTCTTACCAAAGTGAAAAAAATAAACAGATTCTGTTATGGACTTGGCACTATCTTTTGGAGAGACGGCACACTTTTTCAATTGCGATTTTATGAGTTTTTTAGAAACTAAAATAACAATTAAAATAATTACATTAGTGCCTACATAGACATGTTTGTGTGGTTTGACATTCTTGAAATATTTTAAGTCCTTTGCATAATCAGATTAAGTAACATGAACACAGAACTCCATAGCTAAAGGCCAGTGTGATCCCAGGAGAGACCAGCATTAGCAAACAAATTAATTCCTGAGTAAACCAGAGAGAAAGGAGTTAAGGCTTTGATCTAAGACTTACTATTTCTTCAAGTTAAATTACAGAGATATCTCCTGAAGTGAATCATTGGAAACCAGGGCATATATGGCACCCCCTTCATTCCCTCTATGACCCCATTGAAGGAGGCAGGTTGTGTGAGTGTGGTGAGACTCAACGCTTCATTTTGGAACACTTTGCCAATTTCCCCCACTTCATGACCTTGGGTAAATGACTTCAGCACTTTTGAGCAGGGTGCTGCCTTTCCTACACTATAAAAATGGCTGTTATGTCTATCGATCATGCAGAGGTGCCACGAGGCTTAATTTATTAGTTAATGTTTGTGTTACACTCTGCAGCTCTTACATGGAAGGTGTTATAGAAATGCAAAGCAGCAATATATTACCTAAACATGTGCCTCCTCAAATAGCTCTCCAGAAAGTTTTCATTGCTTCAGCACAAATGATTTCCTTCAAAATGGATAATTTTGTCCAGGTCTTTCTTGGCCCATAAATTGATTCTCCCTCCTTTCACAGCATAGAGTCTCTGTGCAGAGCACACTTTCCATCTTGTCCATGAAGTGTTCACCGTGGATGCTCTCCCTTGTGTGTGCATCGCAATTACTGACAGTCTCCTTTTCCTCATCACGTTTGCCCTCTTCATTCTTTACTCCAAAAAGCTATTATAATTTAACTCTTCTTTACATGCTTAGTTTCATACATGGACATGTTCTGTCTCACCCGAGAGCATGATGTTTTAAAATTAGGCACTAAAAACAAAAGAAATCACTTAAGAATTTTCTGGAAAATAAAATAAGACAATTCAAAATATAAGGTCCAAGTCTGAACATGTTTTGATGAGATGAAATTAACTGCTAAATTGCTAAAGATTGTATTGGAGATTATTTCTGGTAATGTTAATCTTGTCCATAATTTTGTTAAAAGTAGGTTCTTTATTAAAGAACTCTATAGAAAATGGGTATTTATTTATATAGAAATTCCAGAGTTCCAATATTTATTTGCCTGGGATTTGGATAACTTATTTTCCAAACACAATTAGAGAGAGAAAATAATAAATTATACCAACATATTGTATTCAAAGGCTTTCTTCTTTCCACATTTTTACTTTCACTTCAGTTTTGAGATTTTTTTTATTTGCATATTATTCTTCAACCCTACTGTTTGTGGTTATGGGGTTATCTTAAAACGTACCTGGGATTTGACTGATAATGATTGAGAGACGGGGTCTCACTCTGTTGCCCAGGCTGGAGTGCAGTGGCATAAACATGGTTTGCTTACAGCCTCAACCTCCTGGACTCAAGCAATCCTTCCTTCTTGGCCTCCCAAAGTTTTGGTATTATAGGTGTAAGCCACTGCACCCAGCCCTGGGATTTGTCTTAATCAGGTATGGTTGTAATTGCCCAGGCAGGTTCTTCTTGCCCACTGCCCAGAAAAGCCAATGCACTGAGCACAGCAAGAGTGTTCACAGCAAGGAAAGATTTAATTATTGCAGGCCAGCCAAATGGCATGATGGGAGATAATTCTCAAATCTGCCTCCCTAAGAATTTGGGGACTAGGGTTTTTCAAGGCTAGTTTAGCAAGCAGGGGACTAGGGAATGAGGAATATTGGTTGGCTGGGTGGGAGATGAAATCATAGAGGGTCGACACGGTCTTGTGCTGAGTTAGTTCCTGGGTGTGGGTTACTGGTCCACGTGGTACCAGTTGGTTCATACAGAATTCAAGATCTCAAACATATCTCAAACACCAGTCTTTGGTTTTACAATAGCAATGTTCTCCATAAGGGCAATTGGTGAAGTTATAAATTTCGTGGCTACATGACTCTTGAGTAGTAAGTAGTTTTTAAAAAGCAAGTTATAAAACAATGACTGGTTAGGGTTTCTACCTACATCTTTGCAGAATTCAGGCTCCTATCACAATTGTAACCTTGTGGACTTTCATTAGTTTTAAAAAGGTGATTTTAGTCCCCAAGTAAGGTGGGGCTTAGTTTTAGGAAAGAACTGCTATCATCTTTGTCTTAAAGTTAAACTATAAACAAAATCCCTCCCATAGTTAGCTTAGAATGAGCAAAGGCAGTTAGCTTGTGAAGTTAGAAGCAAGATGAAGTCAGTTATGTTAGATTTATCTCACTGCCATAATTTTGCAGACAGTTTCATGACAGACACAGAGACAACTCTCTTTGAAAGGAGAGTTTATTACTTACAGGTTCCAAGAGGAGGGGCATGCCATATTACGTCAGGCCTCAGGGGAAGTACCCAGGTCAATCAGGAGGCAGAAGCAATGAGGGAAAAGCCTGGTCCAGAGCCTTACTGTGGTTTCCATGCGAGAGAAAGGGTGAGGCAGGGAAGGCAAGTTTGAGCAAGCTTAGAATTGGATAGTTTGAATAATGTGGGCAGGCTCTGGCCATAGGGGTGGTCTCTAGTTGTCTGATGCCCGGCCTTGGGGTGATTTAGGCAGTGGAAATACTGGCTTGGTGTATTAGAGCAAGATAAAGGTGGTGGTTGGGGATATGGGCTTTGGATTGGTGGGTTGTATACAAAAGGTGTGCTCACAGGCAAGTTGTCTGCTATCTCTATGAATTAGCTAACCCCTAGAGGGGCAGTCCCTCCCCAGGTCCACACAGCCCCCACAGTGTCAAAGCATCATAAAATACAAAAAAAAAGGAACATGATTAATACAGGGGGATCTTCTCTGAAACTTCCAAGCAAATCTTTAAAATAAGTTTGGCTATATAATTCTCTCTTTTTATTTAGTGATAAAACATATGCTTTATAAGGAAAAAAATTGTGAAAAGAATCATGAAAATGGCTACCATTGATGAATACTTACTACACCTAGCAATTGATGAAACACTACATATATGACCTCAATTGAAGTATTAAACTACAAAGGAAAGCTAAATGAAAAAGAAAAGCTTAAATTACCTCTTGCCCTTATTTATTTGTTGTTTGCAAGAGGCAGATCCAGGGGGCTTGGAGAGAGGTAAATCAGCATTTTCTTCTTTCTAGACAGAGCTGAGTCAGCTTCCCAGCACTCACGTGGTGTTGTGAGGCTGCTCAGTTAGGAGCATAACCTGCCACACTGGGCAGTTAATTGGCCAATTTGAATGAGTTCTGGCATTGTTTGGCAGCTCGGCTCTGACAGTGACTCTAACCGAAAATCCCTCCATATATATCCTCAGTTTGTGGGTAAGGGTTCTTAAACTGGCACTATGCAGTCAGTTACTACCTGGCATATGTACCACCACATCCCAAACCATATCGATGACAGGTATCATTTTGTCTGAGCAACCTCAGAAACGCTCAACAGAGTGTTCTAGGAAATTCACACCCAATTTTCATAGGTTGGCATAATAGATGAAACATATTTATTTGCCATCTGATGTGGTTTTGCTGTCTCCCCACCCAAATCTCATCTTGAATTGTAGCTCCCATAATTCTCACATGTTGTGGGAGGGGCCTGGTGGGAGGTAATTGAAACACATTGACAGATCTTTCCCATGCTGTTCTTGTGATAGTGAATAAGTCTCACGAGATCTGATGGTTTTGTAAAGGGGAGTTCCCCTGCACCTGCTCTCCTGTCTGCTGCAATGTAAGACGTGCCCTTGCTCCTCCTTTGCCTTCCACCACGATTGTGAGGCTTCCCCTGAAATGTGGAACTGTGAGTCTATTAAACCTCTTTTTTCTTTATAAATAACTCAGTCTCAGGTATGTCTTAGCAGCCTGAGAATGAACTAATACACCATCTCCATACAGAAGAATGAAGATTCTATCTCTATACATAATTATAACTACTTTTTAGAGTGTTGCTGATCAAAAGATAATCAGTTATTGTTCATTGACTAAAGAAAATCAGACATAATTTGATGTTTATATGTTTATAATGGATATCTGTCTCATGAAATGGGACAAATATGAAATGAGACATCCAAAAATGAAATGTCTCATGAAATGTACACTCCTGCTGATGAACTCAGGCCTTTTCCCAGTTAGCTTCAGATAAGCATCTATTGCTTTGGACTGTGCAACATCATCCCCTAGTGCCACTTTCCTCTGATACCAGGACCACTCATTCTCATGGGGACAAAATTCCATAGCTGTGGTGTGGTTTGATTGGAACTGCTATTGCCAACCTTGCCTCCCTCCAACGTCCCCACCCTCCCCTCAACCCCAAGCTGTACAGGGGTAGGCACCTGGTCCAGCTACATAACAATATCCCTTCATCCATAGTGACTGCTTGTAGGCTGAGCCAGTCACAGCTCATCCTGGAACTCCTCTGCTGGAGCATCAGCGGAGACCATTTCTGCGGGAGATGCTAGGCTAGGAGGGTAACATGGTTTGGCTCTGTGTCCCCACTCAAATCTCATGTTGAATTGTAATCTCTAATGTTGGAGATGGGGCCTGGTGGGAGGTGATTGGATCATGGGGGTGGTTTCTGATGGTTTAGCACCATCCCCCTAGTGCTGTCCCGTGACAGAGTTCTCCTGAGATCTGGTTGTTTGAAAGCGGGTAGCAACTCCCCCTCCGCCTCCCTCCTGCTCTGGCCACGTGAAGACCATGCCTGCTTTCCCTTCCCCTTCTGCCGTGATTATAAGTTTCCTGAGGCCTCCCCATAAGCAGAAGCCTGTACAGCCTGCAGAACCGTGAGCTAATTAAACCTCTTTAAAAATTACCCAGTCTCAGGTATGTCTTTATAGCAGTGTAAGACCAACTAATACATAGGTATTAGTTGGGTATAAGCAAGGGGCTGGTGGTGGCCACCTTTCCTGTCATGCGAAAGATTGCGGGTATAATTACGTGAGCACAGTCAAGAGACACAGGGAGATAAGACAGCGACAGTGATGGGGACAGAGCCTGAGCCCTTGGATTCAGCTGTTCCTGAAATCAAAGGCACACTAAACTTCCCAGACCCAAGAGGCAATAAGTTCCTTTTGTGTCTGTCCCATTAGGTTAGTTCAGAAATTGGATTTCTGAATTTGCAGCTGGCAAAGTTCTAATTAATACAAAGACATGCTAAAGATAAAAAGGGATTTTTTTTACTGTCTTTATAGTGCTATTTTGTGGTGTTCTGACTGTTGCACAGGTGCTTGTTATTGAAGAGATACATGCGCTATATAAAAGATAACATTTACTGAGTGCTTACTACTGCTAGGCATTATTGTAAGTACTTTCCAAACAGTGAATAAATTAATTCTAATAAAATCATTTGCAGTGGGTATTACTAGCACTGTTATACAGATGCAGAAGCTGGGGCAGTAAAATAGTAAAGAATTTTGTCCAAGGTCACAAAGCCAGCAAGTGGCAGAGCTGGGATTTGAACCTAGGCAGACTGGCTTGAGTCTGTGCTCTTAGCCACTATGCTGATACTTACAACTTGCTTTTGTCCTAGTTTTAGATTTCATAATTACATCTATTAACAAAAGAGAACAAAGCACCGTATCCCTTCTCCTTTCCATGCTTTGAATGCTGGCCTCTAGCTGCTGTTCTTCCAAGGTGAGAAAGAGGCCTAGTTACACTTTATAGAGAATTTGAGAATCATGGTCCTTCAGACTTGGGAGCATTTTGGAAGAAACACTGTCCATAAGCCTCACCTACATTGGCACAATACTCCTCCCTGAAAATGCTCCTCTTTTCATAAGTCTATTGAACGATGTTTTTCAACCAGTGATAAACTAACCCCAAAATATATAGGTGAACTGCAGTATATAACAATAAATATATCTGAGAAAGTCAAATATTGTGAGATGAGAAAGGGCATTCCTGCTGCTCAGGGATTAGAGTTGAAAGTAGGAAAATCTGCTGTGCTTAACTGGATAAAGTCACAGCATTTACATTTCTTGTTGATAGCTACTGAAGATTCTCCTTGAAGCTCAAGTTCTCGCTGCCCTCTGTCCCAGTCCCCTGTAGAATTGTCAAATCCCGCTTTTGCACTTAGTTACTTGATTACCTGCTGAAATCCTGCAATTGCCACAGCTGTTGCCATTTTAGCTCCTTGAATTTATGAGCACCAGTGCATCTCCCTCGCATCTGCTTTGGCTGTTGCTTTTGAAAGGAGTGATCACACAAGGAGGGGTAGAGGAAGAGGCCCAGATAGTTCTGTGGCACTGAAGGCAGCTAAGAAAAGAAGCAACTCTTGACTTTGCGATTAGAATAGTAGCAACTGAGAACATTAAATGTGTTTATCTTTCTTCTGAGGAATGCCAAGTATTTTTAAAAAGAGAACCCTGACTCATCGTGCAGAAGCACAAGGACGCACTAAAAATAGTGGTATGGTTTCTAACATCGAGATGCTCCACAGCAGGTGACGAGAGGTTTGCTTCTTAAATAGACAGGTAACCTACGGAGAGCATATGACGATCTTCTCTGTAAAGGACTCTGTCAACTCTATGGGATCTTCCTTTCAGATGACTGATGGGTAACAGCAGGGTGGAGGTCGGGAAGGGGAGGCCAATGGATATGGAGGTGGTACTGTTTCCATAAGCATTTCTCTTCTTTCCTTAATGGAATCGACTTGCACTCTGGTTTCCGCAACGTCCTAGATTAAAGTGGCTTTAAACCAAGGAGTGAGCCAGTCATATACCCTTTACACATCCTCAGTTCTATGTGGGCTTTGGTCTGGGATCAATTATTCTTCATGATTGATCTGTGCCCTGCCATGGCCTCAGAGAAAGGCTGATTCCTGCATGTTCACTAAGGACAGTAAGATGCTTCTGGAGAGTCAGATATTTGGGACCTTGATATTCCCCACAGTTGAGTTCACTGGCTCTTTATGCACACGTGGCCAGCACTGATCGAAGCTTCTCAGAGTGAAACTGAGCATCTTTCTGGGTGCCTGCACCGCCAAAGCCCAGACCATCTCTCTGTTTCCACACACAATGGCGTCTTCAGAAAGCACGGAGAGGATGTACCTCCCTGCCAAAATCAATCCCGGTCAACTCCAAGTGAGTCTATAAGCCTTACTAAAATAAAGCTGATTTAACAAATAATGGCTTAACACTTGGAATCACTAAATGCTATGCTTTAATGTGTTTGTAAGAAAATCTCACCATTTGAAATTAAAAGGAGGAACAAAATGAATTTTGACACGCATTTATCAAATCTTGAGGAACATTAACTTTCTGAGAAGAGAAGACCTTTTTAGAGCCCCCAAAGGGAAACTGGATAAAGTCCTTTAGACTTATGAAAAGCTACATGCTTGAACACAGCTCCTGCCCTGTGGTTTCAAATACAGGCTTAGGACTTCTGCCTCTGAATAGGATGTCAGGCAGCACACTGATGCTCTCACCAGAAATAACTAGAAAGGCCACATAAAATAAAATAAAATTTAAAACTCCGTTAAAAGACATAAGAGAACTGCTGATGCATAGGTGACTATCAAGGCCACAGTTTGAAGAGGACAGAATCACAGAGGGGTGAGCTCCTGATCTGCAACTTCTTTTATTCCAGGACATTTGCAGAGTCTAGATGTAGAGTAAGAATCCGCCACTGGAGCAGAGAAATCATCAGAGCTCTAGACAGCCTTGGAGGGTTCAAAAGACAAAGCTGAAAATGTAAGAGGCCAAGATCTTGGTGAGGGGCAGAAAACTGACCCTGGTTTTCTCTTCAAGAGGTTAAGAGAGTAAAAGGCTAAAAGATTAACAGAGCAAAAGGCTAAGTGGAAAGACTGAGAAGAGAGTGAAGTTTTTGGCAGGGTCACCATGCCTAGGGAACAAGAATTATGGTTCAGGACCCACAAGGGGAAGGGCCCTGGGGAATACACCAGGGTCTTGGCTGAGGCCTTAGGAGCCTAGACTTCACTCAGCTCAGTGAAAGTTGATTATCCCCTTCTCAGCTTGCCTAGCAAACGAAGGTGTGACTCCCCTTTGGTGAAGAATAACATCTGGAGCCTCCACACTTTTCCTTTTAATGGATAACACGCAGCATTCAATCAAAACTTCTGGGGGTCCCCCAGCAGCATGCCTGGTAATGGCTGTGATGACAGTTTTCTAGTATTTAATTTGACATTAAGTGCATATCTAATTCACAGAACTTGGGCTTCCTGGAAGCATGGTTACCATAGGCAGTCAGGGAAACAGTGCCAAGGTGTGTGAGTCTGTGTCTGTGTGTATGACACTGGCTTTTATGCAGGAGCTGCTCATTAAATCAACATGGCCACAATTCACAGGGATAAGCGGCAAGCCTGTCATTTGTCAAAGATAATTCTCATTCAGTTTCATACCAAGGAGTGAGGAAGATTTTTTTTGTTAACTGTGAAAACCCCACAAAAACAAAAAGAACAACAAAAAAGAACAAAGAAGCCTTCTCTCATCCTCCAAATACAAGTCAGTATTTCTTCTGTGTACTCTCGTAGCATGGTGTTTCATTTTACTTATCTGTATTCTTCCCCAGCTGCAAATTTAATCTAGGGCCGCGAACTATATCTACCTTAGTCACACAAGTCTCCTCCAGTG